GCCGCCTCCCCCGCCGGGGTCGCTGTCAAACCCTGGGCCGGCCGGGGTGCCCGCCGGGGCGGTGAGCCTGAGCCTGAAATAAAAAGCCGTTCCCGGGGCCGTGCTTTTTTCTTTCTGTCGTCTTCTGTTTGTTTTTCTTATCAGCGTTCGGCAGCACAAGGTGACTCCTCGTTGTGTGAGTGAGGGCAAAGGCTCGCTATCTTTTGGCTGCTTTGTTTCAAAATTCCTACTTTTAATAAAAACAGAGGCCCTTAGGTGAAAAAGATGCCGGGGTCTATATTATAAACGGGACCTAGGAAGACTGAAAAAACAGTCGGGACAGGCACATAAACTGTCTTTTTTTGCAGGGCAGTGACAGTGCTTCTCATGGTCTTGTCTATCGTGACCTCTAAAAATCATATTTGCCTGTAATATGAGCTCGCAACAGAGGTTCTCTTAGTTGAGATGTTACTGTGTTTAATGTGTACTCAATAATAAAGATTTCGTGATCTGTTAAAGCCTGGAAGGCAGATATCAGGATGCAGTTTTCTTTTTTTTTTTTTTAGGGCTGCTAACAGGGATAAGGAAGCCTTGCTTCCCTTAGTAAAGCATGTGATGAAGTCAGGCAATTTAACTTCTCAGTTTGCCATTTGTGACCTTGGCCAACATGTTCCCTTTTCTTAGGGAGCCGAAGTAAGAACTTGGCTTCTAGTATTCTGAAAGTACTTTGTGAAGCTTAATTCATGTTTTATGTTACTTTCTTACTTTAGAGGTAGGTGTTTTAGTAAAATATAGCTTTTTTTAATTTAAGCAAAAGTTAGAGAATAGCACCATTTCAGTTAACTTGGTATATTCATTCTTAATTGCTAAATAGTTTTTGATTTGTACTTTGAACAGAAATGACTACTCATAAAATGAAGGCAAATCCTTTATTAGGATAATGAATTGGTTCTCGTTTGATGGTGTGTCATTGCATGAGAACAAGCAGTCATTTGCTAAAATTAATATTGTATAATGTAAAACAAAGGCTGTGCTCGCACAGTGAATATGGGGAATTTAGTATTCTTTAGGTTGTCTTCTATTATCAGGCTCAGGGTATATGTTTTTCTCCCCTGTGGAGATATATGTGGTATATGTTTTTCTCCCCTTGCCTCTCCTTAGGAGGCAATATTTTTTTTTTTCCACATGTGTAGCAGCCTGGAAATTAATGAATATGAGAATCACCTTGCCAGTCACTGTGATAGTGCCAGCATTGACCATGGCACATGTTACTAGCATCAGTTCTACTCATCTCATGTCCTAGAACTGTTTTGGAATTGGAACTGCATAGGAAGCTTACCTTTGAGGGAATTAAATTGGAATTAGCCTACTTCAGGCTGGCTGTCCTATTTAAAGTACAATTCTTCTAATAGCCTCAAAGGGTCGACATCTTTTTCATGCCTATCTGAGAGATGCTCTTAGTAGCATCCCATTTCTCGAGCCACGTTGGCTGAGGATTGACTGAATGAGTAGTACTGTAAAACTCTAAACCGTCTGAAGTATCAGGGTTTTCTTGAAGGCCTTGTAGGCAAGTACTGAAATTGTGTATGGGAAGCTTTGTGTATGCTGGCAAAATGCAGTGTTGGCTGATCTTCAGAACCTTAATTTTGGTTGCTCTTTGGAGGTGGGTCTAGAAAATTAGACTGCATTTACAATTTGATTATACCACACTGCTTTTTTTTAGGCTGAATTGTGGTGAATCTTGGAAACTTGGCCAGTGTTCTTAGATCTGGGAGGATGAGAAAAGATGGTATTTTGGGTTTCAGCTAGGATTTCTAGGAGTGATTTCCAAGATAGGAGTGCATGTAGCACAGTTGCTACTCTTTTGAACATAAGCTTCTGCTTACTGGACTATCTACCATATCTGCTGCCAAAACGTAAGCTAGTTTATGAATTCAGACTTCTCTTGCATCTGGACCATTCACTGTAGTGAGCTAAATGCAAGACAGCTAGCTTTAGGAGATGAGCTTTTAAAATCTATAAAGAGGAGATTTCAAAAATAATGACCCATTTAATAGGCTGGCTTTTTTGTATCTTTTAAGGAAGCTTTTCACTGACCAAAATACCGATAGACTTAGGAGCCCTGTAATGATTATTGCCATTTCTTTTACGGAAATCTGGATAAGGACACTGAGGTACTGGGATAACAAATTCAATGTCAGATGAGAGGAGATCACTTGGCAGCTGTTTGCTGGGTGATCAGTCTGGAAGTTAAGAGTTCCTGGATAAAAAGGAAAATGTATAGATTGCTGGCTGCCTACTTCCCTGGGCTGTTGGTCTCAAGGCACTTCTCACTACTCAGTTTAAAAAAAAAAACAAAAACAAAAAAACCCCCACACCACAGAAGCCCCCCCAAACCACCTACTGTTTCAGGGAAGAGTGAGAGGGAATGAAGCTGGAAACTGTTAGGCTTGTGGCTTTTCCTTAATCTTGTAGTTCTGCCACCTCATTTCTGAGGATACAGTGGAAAAAGGACAGGCACAAAGAATCAACGAGTGTGATCAATAATAGATTGTAGAGTCTTTATGAGGAGAGATCAGACTTTTGAACTAGGCAGCGTATGCTCTTGCTCATTGCTGGTGATGGATCCTTAGGCTTGTTGGGTGCCAACATAAGAACAACCATATTGAATCAAATTAATTCCCAACGGAGTATAGATGTGGGATGAAGTTTAGATCCCAGTAAAATGAAGATAGCCCTCTTTTAAAGCATGCCTTTTAAAAGTTTTATGTAGACAAAAATGATTGTCTGGTCTTATGAAACTGATTGGCCTGGGTGATCATTTTTACCTGGTCCTGCTGGCCATCACAGAAACAGACCTTCAGATTTCCAGACTCCTGCCACTCTCCATGTCCAGACGGGATCCTTCACCTCAAACATGCTCATTTCTCTCCCTTACCACATCTGGTAGCCTGAAGTTGTGGTCAAGCAGAAGTCAACTACTTTGTATTGCTATTTCTGTGATTACCATTTGAATATTTATATAGTATGTGAATAACTACTAAATTTCACCAAGCCATCTAATGAATTAAAAAGGTACATGGATGTGTATGTTCAAACAGAAAAGATTTTGTCTGACTTTTATCTGACACGTTTCTTTGCACCTCTTTTTTGAGAACCCTGCTTCAGCTTTGATCCCAGGCAAGACTAGAATGCTATGAAGCCTCTGCCATTGCTTTAATTTGCAAATCTGTTCTCCTTTTGTACTGTCAATTATGGTGATATTCAGCTTTCAGTTTACTGGGTGATATGGAGGAACTCCATTAATCAGTTGTGCTACAGGGTTAGTTTGGGGGTCAGGGAAAGAAGGAATTACTGCATTAAAAAAAATACGTTTCCTAGTCTGAGGAAGAGATTATTATTTTTCCATGAACATTGAGGAAATCCCTCAGTGGTTTTTCCAGCCACTCCAGCAGTTGGAGACTTTCACAAGATAATGGATATCTTGTGAGGTAAAGACAACATTGTCCACAGCATTAATTGTGCTGGGTAAATGCTTAAGGAGTTGGGGGGGGGGGAAAGGCAGAACAAACCAAACACAGAAGTTATGTGGCTACTAGGTAAAGAGCAGCTTATGTATGTTAAACAGTGAGAAGCTGGGTGGTGTTTGGATTGGTTTGTTTGGGTTTTTTTGCTGGTGGAAGAAGGAAAAGTCTTACTTCTGATACCTGTGATACATTCTGGAACTTCTAAACTAAAGTGCAGCACAATGAAATTTGATGACCGGGTTTCATTTGCACTTCTGGAAGAGCAGTGCCCTCTCTTGTACTGCCATGTTCACTTACTTCAGATTTCTTTAATGAAAATGATGTGCAGCTGCTAGGTCTGTATTGCTCTTACTGAAAGCTATATATCTAACAGCTTAGGACTGTTTGGTAAAAAAAATCAAACTACACCCTTATTGGTAGTGTGCTGGTTATTATGATCTTGCCTAGATTTCCTGAACTTTTTATTGTGTGCGATACTAACAAATGTTATCAAAAGGACAATAAACAAGAGATTTGAATAAAAATTGGTGATGTCTCATTGATCATGATTATTTCAGGCAATGTTTTCAATGCTGGTAACAAGAAAACTGGAAAAAATATTCACAGGGAAAAATTAAAAATGCTTGAACAGATCTAAAGAATTGGCTAGCATTTTTGATAACGCAAAAACAGTGGTCAGTACTGTGATTGTGTTCTGCACAAGGAATATTTGCTGATTTACAGTCATACATACAAAAGGAATATTTAGTGCAATACTGCTATGTTTATTAACCTGTGCTTATCAAAACCTTGTAATGCTAAAGTAGAGGATG